CTCTCTCTCTCTCTCTCTCTCTCTCTCTCGCTTCTCTCTCTCTCTCTCTCTCTATTTCTCTCTCTGCCCACATCTCTTTCTCTTTATCTCCATCTCTCGCTCTCGCTATCTTGTTCTCCTCTCCTCTCTCGCGCGCTATCGCTCCCCTCCCTACTCTCTCTCTCGCTCTGTCGGCTCTTTCTCTTGCTCTCGATCATCCTCTCCCCTCTCTCTTCCTTTCCCTCGTTCTCGCTCACCCTTTCCCCTCTCTCTTTTTTTTCTCTCGCTCTCTCCTCTTTCTCTTCAACCTTTTGGCTTGATCTCACCTTCTCTCTTTCTCTCTGCATCTCTCCCCATTTCGCTCGTTCGCTTCCTTCCCCCTCTCTCCTCTCTTCCCCTCTTCCACTCTCTCTGCATCTCGCCATTTTTCATCACTCTCTTCCCTTTTCGCTCGTTCGCTACCTTCCCCCTCTCTCCTCTCTTCTCATCTCCCTCTCTCTCTTTCTCTGCATCTCTCCCTTCTCTATCACTCTCCTCTCTCTCGTTCGCATCCTCCCCCCTCTCCTCTCTTTTTCTCTTTCTCTCTTCCCCTCTCTCTGCATCTCTCTATTCTCTATCACTCTCCTCTCTCTCGTTCGCTTCATTCTCTCCCATCTATCTTCTTCTCTTCCTCTCTCCTACTTTCTCTCTCACTCTCAGCACCTCTCTCTCTCTCTATCACTCACTTCCCCTCTCTCTCGTTCGCTTCCTCCCCTTCTCCTCCCTTCTCCTCTTCCTCGCTCACCGTTCTGCCCGTGCTATACTCTATCATCGTATAAACGATGTCGGCGCCACCTGTCGGCTTCACCCATCGTATGATGGCGCCAGTGTCGCCCGTGTGCGTTGAGCCGAGCACCACACTGACGTCACGTGGTGCCAGCGGCAGCAGTTCCTCCAAAGGTACCGTAATCGCCTGCGTCACTGACTGACTCTTCGTCTGTGACAACGTTGTCGGGCTAATCGTGTGATCTATTGCAGAGAGAGAGAGAGAGAGAGGGGGGGATAGTGCGTGTGTATTGTAGGTAAATGTGAGGTGAGGTGGGAATAAGTGAGACGACGACGACGACGACGACGACAACAAAACATTAAAAACAAAAACAAAAACAATAACAACTAAAGCAACACTACCTCCGCCTCCACCGCCAACAACAACAACAATGACAAAAAATCATCATCATCATTATCATCATGCATCATGATCATCTTTACCAACAACAGCTACAATAACAACAATATCAACAACACCTACAGCACCAACACTATCAGCAGCATCACCACCACCACCACCACCACCACAACCACCTCCGCCAACACCACCACCAGCAGCGACAACAACAACAACAACAACAACAACAACAACAACAACAACAACAACAACAACAATATCACCACCAACACCACCACCAACACCAACACCAACAAAAATAATAACAACAACAACAACAACAACAACAACAACAACAACACCAACAACGCCAACCACACCACCAACACCACCGCCACCACCGCCACCACCAACAACAACAACAACAACAACGACGACGACGACGACGACTACAATAACAATAACAACAGCAGCAGCAACAGCATCACTATCACCGTCACTAGGCCGTGGCTGAACGCACGCACCTGTATATATTACAGACGCCTGGGCACTCGGCTTGCTAGCTGCATTGCGCGTGTACGCCACCACTCTGAAGATGTACTCTCGATCCTTGGTTAAATGGCTAGTGAAGAAGGAGCGCGACCCAGGGCCCAGTCTTGTATTCGTCAGGTAGCGCCACCAGTCACCCTGCGCAGGGGGAAAAGCGTGTGGGCATGCGCGTAGGAGCTTGGCAGCACGTGTGAAATGCAGGAGGGATATCGGTATCCTATCAACGTGATATGATGATCATGCGAAGATGCGATAGAAAAAAACTGTTCAGATTTTTTTTATACGTGAATACGCATCCGCGCCTCTATACTCGCTATGCCTTGTCTTTCTCTTTCTCTCCATCTCCTCTCTTTCTCTCTCTCACACATTGTCTCTCCCCCTCTCTTTCTTTCTTTCTCCCTCCTCTCTCTCTCTCTCTCTCTCTCTCTCTCTCCCCCGCGACCTGTGTGTCAGGTCACCTAACACCGACGTCACGACCTGACGATGCGCATACGGACAGAGTTACACAGGGACGAGAGAACCACCTAAAATCTCCACAAAGGCTCCAATAAAACCAGAGACCGAAACAAAGAAGGAGACGGACGCATCAAAAAGAAACCGACGGGTCCGGAGAGAGACCTAAACGACCAGAGACGGGACCGACGGACGGAGGAGAGAAGACGTGGCCGGAGAGAGAGAAGACAACGAAGGGACCGGAGAGACCCCAGCGAGACAGGGGAAACCCACACCGCTGCCAACGAAAACACCGACGTCAACAACAACGACGACGACGACGACACCGACGACGGAGTTGACTACGCCGATGGAGCTGCCGACGCCGACGCCCCCTGGCGACGTAGAGGCGCGCATCACTACGGACGAGAGCGGCGCGCAGGGAATCCTGATCACGTGGTCAATGGATGAAGAGGACACTCCAGACAGATTCTACCTGATTCAGTATCAGGCGCGGGTAGCCGTGGGCAGGGAGAGCGTGGAACGGTGCGCGAAGAAGCGAAGGTTGCAGGAAGACGAACGATGAGAGAGAGAGAGCAACAGGAAGGGAGGGGGAGGAGAGGAGAGAGCAGCAAGAGAGGCGAGAGCCAGAGAGAGAGAGAAGGAGAGAATGCGAGAGCCGCGGCGCGAGAAGAGAGAAAGAGAGAGAGAGAGGGAGCAGAGAGAGAGAGAGGAGCGAGAAGAAAGTTAAAAGATAATAATAGATTGTATAAATGGAAATGCGGAATAAGACGCAAAAGCAGGCAAAATCTAATTGCGAGAGACGAGGAGAAGTGCCAGCAAAAAGCGAGATAGCTGGGATGGAGGCAGGAGTAAAAAAAGGAGCAAGCGCGAAAAGAGAGAGTAAAATAGAGAGAGACAGCCGTGCGAGGCGAAAGAGAGAGACATAACGACAGTACTAGAAAGAGACGGAGAGAGAGAGACGAGAGGGAGAGAGCGAGGTAGAGAAGAAAGACAAGAGAGGCGGGAGAGACAATGTAGTGAGAGCGACGAAACGAAGAGAGAGATGCTGGAGCAGAGAAAGAGAACGCAACAACGGCATAGCGAGGTCTTATGACGGGCCGCGGCCATGGCGTATTCACGTATAACAAAAAATGCTGAACAGTTTTTTTCCTCATCGCACCTTCGCGAATGATCATGCCATATCACGCTTGCATAGGATACGATACCTCCCTCCTGCATTTTCAACACCTGCTGCCAGCTCCTACGCGCAATGCCCCACACGCTTTTCCCCCTGCGCAGGGTGAACTTGGTGGCGCTAGCCTGACGACTACGAAGACTGGGCCCTGGGTCGCGCTCCTTATTCACTAGCCATTTACACCAAGCGAGTCCGAGCAGTCACATCTTCAGGCCAGTGGTCCGGCGTACCACGCGCAATGCAGCTACCGCAAGTCCGGAGTAGCCGAGGTCTTTTTTTTTTGTGTGAATATATACAGTGCGTGCGTTCAGCCACGGCCTAGTGACGGTGATAGTGATGCGCGTTAGCTGGCTGCTGTTTGTTTATTGTTATTGTATGTCGTCGTTCTTCGTCGTCGTTGTTGTTTGTGTTGTTGGTGGTCTGGCGTGGTGGCGGTTGTTGTTGGTTTTTGTTGGTGTTGTTGGGTTGGTGGCTTTGGCTTGGCGTTGTTGGTGTTGTTGCTTGTTGTTGTTGTTGTTTGTTGTTGTTATTATTTTTGCTTGTGTTTCGGTGTTTTTTTGGTGCGTGCCGTTGTGGTGATATTGTGTTGTTTTGTTCGTTGTTCCGTTGTTGTTGTTGTTGTTGTTCGTGTGTTGGTCGCTGCTGGTGGTGGTGTGTTTGTGTATATATATTTCTCTGTGCTTGTGGTTTGCGGTCGGTCGGGTGTGATC